TGATCCCAAATTAATACATGACTACAACATTCTTAAAAACTTAGCACATGCATCACCAAAGTACTAAGTTCCCCTTCAAAAATTCTGGTCATTATAAAACAAAACACTTTGTTTCCCCTTATAATTGTTATATGAGGCTTTTTGACATCTTACTAAAAAAATTTGCATAAATTTCCCAAGGCTTCATTGAGGACATAGTGTCTGCTTTCATGATTAAATAATACATACATGAAAGATGAACTAATTTCTCACTGAGTTATCTTGTCAGTGATTATATTAAATATTGCTTATAATTTTTACATAAGAAAAGCTGGACTTCTCTAAAAATGTCCTCCATTTCAGAAGACAAAAAAAAGACTGCTCTTTTTCGTAAATGAGAAAAAAAAGTTGTTGTCTGAGAGAGAGGCTAATGAATTGTTGCAACTTTTTAACTATATAAAATAAATACAAACTTTATTTTATTTTAAAATAGTTTTTCAAGAAGTCTACTATTTGGGGGGGAGGCGTGTTGTTCAGTTCTACATCTAGGACAAGACAGACACTGTCATATTTTTGTTCTTTATGTGGCTTTTTAATCTTAAACCACAAAACAGAAGCATTTATAAACTTATATTTTGAAGGTTGTGTTAATTTCTCATCAAAAATATCTAAATTTAAGATCAGTGCTATGCCACTCATTTTTTAAATATTTAACGTAGTTTAAATATCCTTTGAATATTGTTTGGCACCAAATTGCCACATATGGAAAACAGTTGTTGGGGAGGGAGGGACCTTAAAAACTTCTAAAATCTTAACTTTGATTTGAAAACTGGCATCTTTGGGGAAAAGAAATCATTATCCTTTCATAACAAAACCATTTGGGTCTGCTCGCATTTTCCTTAAATCACAAATTGCTAACAGCACAAGAGTCGTTATTCCTTCAATACAACTTCATGGGTTTTGAAGATTCTTGAATAAATTATTATGTAATTTATTAACTCCACTAATAAATACAGTGTCTAAATATATTTAACTGCTGAAGTAGTATCACTTTTCAGAATTAAATTCTTACACATTCAATAGATGAGAGAGTTTGTTTTTCAATTAGACTTCAGAAACATTTCTGAAGAGCCAAGTGGCAGATGACTTCCTTTTGTGTCGCATCTTTATGGATGCCTTAGTTGTCTCTTCCCTCCCCCCCCCCTTCTTCCACCTATCTTTTGAGTGTTCATGGTTTGCTAGGCAAAAAGTGCTTCAGCAAGCTGGGTAAATAATCTAATAATCATGAAGAAACTTAAGACTGTGATTATAGTAATATAGTCAAATAAAACTCAACGTTTAAGAACGACATGCCTAGAGTAGTTGGTCTCAATTTGGGTATTTATAGTAAAACTTTTCTTAAAATGTAGCGATAGAACTTTAATTTCTTGAACTTTGGAGTATGCCTCCAAGAAATGAGAGATTGAAAGCTGCTGTCATTTAAGTGGCAGATAATTTTCCCCATAGTATTGCAGCAAATTTACACTTTGATTTGATGGTCATGTTAAGTTAGATGTCAGGTTACTTTCTCTAGTCTTTTGATGATTGTTTTTGAACATGTCTTTTAAATGTATAATGTTTGTTTTCTGAAGAAGTGTTTTTAGACCTATTAACATTCCTGTGACACTGAACAATATCTGATCACTGCTGTCACGTGGGACAAGAAATCTAAGTTTTGTGTTCTGTTTAAAATACCAGACTTCTTAATGAGATGTAATTTAGTGCAAGGTAAAGTCAAATTATCATGAAGATTATATTTACTTTGTCTCTACAGGTTGTAATGGCACTGCTGAAATACTGGCCAAAGACTCACAGTCCAAAAGAAGTCATGTTTTTAAATGAACTAGAAGAAATTTTAGATGTTATTGAACCATCTGAATTTGTAAAAGTTATGGAGCCTCTTTTCAGACAGCTAGCCAAATGCGTGTCCAGTCCACACTTTCAGGTCTGTACTTACTGAATGAACAATCATAGGAGGATTTTTATAAAGCAGACTTGTTTAGTTGTTGCAAAAAAAGTCTTCAATTCTATGTCAAGTTTTGGGGATCCAAATGTTAGCTTTATTGTTGCTTTTCAAGAGTGCAATATGTGCATTCATATTGGGCGATTCACTTCAATGTTAAGCTTAACATGAAAGCTAAAAAGCTCACTTGTTTTTGCAAGTACCTGAACCATTTCAGTACATAGCATTTGCATTTCACTGCTTGTAATAGAGTTCTACAAATGCTCTTTCTTTGAGAAAACATTTCTTTACTTGAACTTCAGAGTTCATGGGTTATCATTTGAATCATGTCCCTGTCAAGGAAAAAGCAATTTTTCCATCTCTCTTTCCATCACCTCTTGTGACTCCCATTTCTAAGTTGCAACTTTTCTTACCTGTCCCTTATATTTGCCAAATGTGTAATTATTTGCTCTTTAAGAGATTGTCTGAAGAAGTGTTCCTTTTTTTTATGTTGTCTTAGGTTGCAGAGCGAGCATTATACTACTGGAATAATGAATATATTATGAGTTTAATTAGTGATAATGCAGCAAAGATTTTACCCATCATGTTTCCATCCTTGTACCGGAATTCAAAGACGCATTGGAACAAGTAAGAAACGCTGGTTCAAATAAAATTCTGCTACTTCACTTCTGTCTAGTTTTAAGCTTAAAAGTGTCTCAGATCTTTTGAGTTGCTAGTTTTAGCAGTGTGTTGAGCTATTCATAATACGACATTGAAGTTGCTGGATAAGGAGGAGACTACAGTTGTCAAAATTTTTAGGAAATGTTAAGAATTGAGGAAGATAGTTTTTTCTTTCTTCCTTAAAGAAGAAACAGTGGTTTAATGCCTCTAATCCGTGATGTATTTTTATTAATATAAAGCAAATTCGGCATTAGTCTGTAGTTCAGATACTTCTAAAGACTGACTTTGATTTCTGATCTCTTAACTTCTTTGCTGATTTGCATTTCTTCTGCATTCTAGTTAAATATGTTATAGATCAGGTCATTTTCTCCTTTCCTCCTTTATTTTTTTTCCTTTTTGTTTATTGTTTTCTCTTCTTTCTCCATTGACTATTTTCACTTTTTTCCCCACAATTAACATAGTACTTGCACATGAAAACAGGCCTGGTCAGCTCCTTTCTGCAGCTGTTCCATTGTAAAGTGCCTCTTTGAGCTATTTTGCAACTGCTGGGATGGCGAAAGTATTGCAGTCTAGCGCTGGCCATGAATTGAGGACTGCTGATGGGTTGGCCCAGAATGCATAATCAGTCTGCCACTAAACACAGGAAAAGAAATGGAAGATAAAGTGATGTTAAAGTGATTGGTTACTGTCACTGGATGTGAGCAGTAACAAATAATGTACTCATTAATAAAATTCTGATTCAGTGATGCAATTGTACATAGTAGATGTGGATTGCTGTTGGTTGTTTTTTCTGGCTTCCATGAAGGCCATGCATTCATTTTATTCTGAGCAGAAGTCACACTACCCAGTACAGCTGCAATCTTACTTGTCACTCACATGAATTATACAAAGTAATCATGTAACTGATTGCTTTTTGGATTTAATGATCAGCAATAGATTACAGACTGGAACTATAAATTCCTCTGTGAAAGTGCTTCATAAAGAAGATTATTTTTGTTTAATTTTTCTGATTTTTCTGCTTTACTTTTCTAACACTTTTCTAAAGAGTCCTGGCATAATTGTGTTGAAGTGAGTGCTGTTGTTGTGTGGCAGTTTTCAAAATGAATGGTGTCTTTTCTAGGCTCCTTTTAATCACTAACTTTTTTTCTTGAATTTGTCAGTTGCCAGTAAGTTACATATATCAAGATCTTTAACATCATCTTGCATTCTCTCTAATAACCCTAGTTTGACTAGTGTCAGCTACTAAATTTCAAAACTAGTCCTGTATTGATAGCCATAGTATTAAAAATGAAGTTTAAACATGAAAAGTGTTAGTGATGAGTAGTACTGTACCATAAGAAAACTGCATTCCAAGTTGGTAATTTTAGTACTTGTGTTAGCCCTTTAGAGGGTAAACTGAAACTTCCACTAACTAGTTTTGTTTCCACTTATTCTGAAATGATGTAATTTTCCAGTTATGTAGGCTATTGGCTACTGTTGACCAGAAAAAATAGATTTCAAAGTTTAAAGTACTCTGAGTTTCAACCAGAAGTTTTACTTATAGGACAATACATGGCTTGATATACAATGCTCTGAAACTCTTCATGGAGATGAACCAAAAACTGTTCGATGACTGCACACAGCAATTTAAAGCAGAAAAACTGAAGTAAGTTTTCATGTCAGTGTGTCTGTCTGTCCTTGAATAATTTGTTCAGAGTGCTTTAGCTCTGAAAAAATACAGTGTCTTTAGTGGGAAGTTACACCCATTTGATTATAATACAACAGTCTCAAAATTGACTTGGTTGAACTTATTGTTATACATGAACTGTAAAATCTTCGAAAGAATAGGATGCTTCATGTCATCTTTGGCCTAATACTGCTGGGGGTCACCATCTCCCTAAAAACTGATTTTTTTTGAGAGGGACACTGCTAATCATGGAGCCCCGTATAAAAGATCTGTTAAACAGTTTTGTTTACATCCTGTGTTTGTTTTAGCATGCTTTATTTACCCAGTGTTATTTTCTTTCATGTTGTCACTCAGTTCTTCCTAAAGCACTCCTCAGCATTGCATTGTGTGAGCACATGTGCATGTTTTTCTAAAATTGCCTGAAATAGAGTTGTTACTCTATTGTAATACAGGGCATTCGTACATTATTTGCCAGACAAATCCTGCTGAGTTTAGTATATTCTTGCATAGGCTAGTGAACAGAGCAGGGATTTGGAAGCTAGAATTTTTCTGGTTTATGCCCAAAAATGCAGATAACTTACATGATCATAAAGTCACTTATCTTGTGTTCCTCTATTTCCAATTCCATTACAAAGACGTAACTTTTTGAATGTTCAGTATATTATAATGCCTACTAAACTGAGATTGAGAAGTCAAAAGTATTAATGGTTTGGCCCTCATTTTAGGGACTGGGAGGCATAGTTAAAAAGTGGGTACTGAAAGTACCTGGATTTGAACTTTAATTTCCAAGTAAACAGGGATTCCTTCAAGTAGCGGTTCAAATGATACACCCATTTTAAACCAATATACTGGAAATAGTACAAATTCTTAATGTGGATCGACTTGTCCAAGTTTTGAAGTTCCTTATTAGAGTTTAAGCAAGAATGAGCTTGTAGTATAATAAATTTGTGTGTATGTGAGTAGATACCACAATTTGAACATTTGATTTTTAAAAAAAGACAACGTAAGTCTCTCTTCCCTCATAGCAAATAAGTAGAATCCCTTTTAAATGGGAAAGCAATCTTTTCTTCTCTGTTTTTTGGGGGGTTTTGGGGTGGCATTTTGAGTGTGAACTAAGGCAGGCAGAGTGCTGATTGTTGTTGTAACAACAACAAAAAACCAAACCACCACCACGCAAGAACTTGAAAGGGGGTGGTTAAAGAGTACTTCCACCACAGCCCAAACTTAACTTAATTGACAGTTGGAGGCAAATTGTGTATGTTTTTGAATATAACTGCCTTTTTTGGTTTTTTAACATTTGGATCATCTGCTCTATGCATTGACGCTTGAGAGCATTTTTAGCACTCTTAAGTTCAAAGCCCTTTTAAATTCTACCACCTTTCAAAGACAGACAAGTGTTCGTTCTAGTCTCTGCAATGAGTTTTTTATCTGTAAGAAAGAAAGGAGAAAACCCGTAGATTTTACCATTTTTAGTTACATTAGGCATAAGGAGACAAACCTTTCCTACTTAAATTTAAAAAGGAAAAAAAAAAGCATCCCATGTCATCCCTCTTGGCTTGTGACTCCCTTGAATGAGTGTGGGTTTGTTGGGTACTTCTCTGTTACTGTTCAATTCAAAATGTCTCTGGGCCTTTTCCTTTAAACGTTACCTAAAGCCGTTGGGCTGACGGTAAGAATCTCTGCCCTTTTTTATGGTCAGATATTAGTTTCTTATGTTTCAATACAGAATTCAAATATTACAAAGTTAAAACACAAACACTTTCAGTATAGATCAAGACTTCTTTCTGTTTTAATTTTAAATCTCTTAACAATGTGCAGTTACTAAAGATAAACTGATATCAGCCAGTTTCTTGCTTCAATGAGAAAATAATGTTTTTTCCCTTTTAATGTTGCTTTGTGATCATGGGGTATTGGTATGATGCAAACTATCCTGTCAACAGTAAGTGATATTTTGGGCAGTTGGCTGAAACAGGAATGGCTAAATAATTTATTCTGTTGAATTCTTCTAGTGAATTTCTTCATGTTAAAGAAAGTGTTGTGATGTAAGATTTAACCTTCTTTTCCCATTATTGCTTCTAATTTTTTTTTTTTTTTTCTAGAGAGAAGCTAAAATTGAAGGAACGGGAAGAAGCATGGGTTAAAATAGAAAATCTAGCCAAATCAAATCCCCAGGTATTTAGAAAAGATTAACATGTTCATGTTTAAATACCTTAGTTTTGTTAAATATCAGTGGGGGAAACAGGTCTGACTGATCATGGAAATAAAGCAATTTCACTAATTGTATTATGAAAGATATACAATAAAAGTACTTTTAAAATTTGTAACCTTTCTCTTGTGCAAGTAATTATTTTTTTAAAAAAGGTTTCTGAAAAGTATGATATGAAGTACTTTTTCCCTTTTCTTATAATAGGAAATATACTGTATTGCGGTTTGAAAAGTTTATTGTGCAAAATTACGGAAAATACAGAGATGCCATAATTGGTTTCTCTTGAAAAGCTGTTTTGCAAACAATATATTACAAAAGAGATTTTTCTGCAAACTGTGAGTTATGACTGGTCAGTCTTCCTCTGTGTCAAATGGATTAAAGTAATATTGTGCGTTCTTGTCTGCTGCATTTGTTCTCCTACTCGCCTTGGGCCAGTCTTCTGGTGAACCTGCAGCTCAGGTTCTTACTGAAAGGGAAAACATCCTCTCAGGCATTACTTGATGTAACTGAAATTTTGATAAACAAAGATCCTTTTGACTACTCACTATGTTTTGAAATTATAGGAGAAGGGGATGGTTTGGCTTGGGGTTGTTTTTTCCCCCCTACTTAATTTGCTTGGGGAACACTGCCAATTTTCCTTTATCTCAATCATACTGATTGCTGCTGTGGACAAAAAAGACCCCAAATATTTCATTTACCTTTCAGACAGAATTTTATTATTGTGCAGCAAGAAACTTACTGTACTGTATCTTTCCAACATCATCTAGCTGAGTTTAAAGTGATGGAAGGTGGAGTAACGGTACTCTATAAACAGAAGTGGGACACTTTATGATCTTGGTGCTATTTTAAAACAGAAAGTATGGGGTCATCTTTTTTCCTAAGAAGGAGGAATTTCATAAATGTGTTTTTCCTCTTGTGGCATTTCTCAGGGAACAATTACTAAACTGCTCAAATAAAATTTGTTAAAATTAAACAAAATGTTAGTTGACAACAGATCAGTTAAATCAATCAAAAAAAGAACCATTCATACGAAAGCAGCAGTTGACTTTCAGTGAGAAAACATTCCTCTAATCAGATAAGCTGTACGAAAGCCTTGCTTGAAGAGTACTTGATATATGTGGTCATTTGCTGTCACAAATCATGAACTATTGCATGTCTGGATAAATAAGGGGATTGACTTGTAGTAAAATTTAGAGTTCTACAGTGTAAATTCCTTTTCTTCCCAAGTAATTTTTTGTAACTGTGTATGTTTTCTGAAACTGGTTAACACAACCTGTATACAGTATGTTCTGCATAGTATGCTTGAAGAGAGCTAATAATTGGAAACAATTTAAAATAAAAATTATTAATTTGAACACTGAGTGCTCGACTGAATTGACGTAAGGATATAAATGCTTTTAGCACTCTACATAATGGATTTTTAAGGTGGTTTTTTTCCTGGAATGTCTATTGACTTTTTAATTTGTCTAATTACTGACAAGTCTTGTTGTTCAAAAAAAACTGACTCTGCATGACACAAGAATATTTTTTAAGATTTTTAGATCATAAAAATTATATTTGTTAAATCCTTTCTGTCAGTTTTTTCTATTTTGTATCATCTGCATTAAGTTATTGGTACACCTGGATACTAAAATATTTGAGAACTGGATGAAAAATGTGTGTGTGTGTGTATGTTCGTAAATGGGTTTTGATTTCAAGATCACATACACCTCAGCTGAATTAAAATAGAATTTAAAATATTAAAGTTGCTGTACAGTAAGCCTTAGATACTATATAAGTGTTTCTACAAGGTGTTTTTTATTCCCAAATGATTTTTTTATGGCTGTTTTACTTTCTCAAGACAGAAAGGTTTAATATTTTGTTTTGAAATTATTTTAAATATATATTAATCATATTTGACCTTGTAACAATGTATTTTCTCTTGCAACACAAAATTGCACCAGAAAGTAAAATCATTGGGTTTAAATTGCTACACTGTTCACAAATCACTATACAGTGTATTAATAAAGCTTCAGATGATTGCCAAAACGGACATTCAATACTGGCAAAATCTAAATATTTTAAAATTCAGTCGCAGATAATCAAAGTGTGGGGTTTTTGTATTCTGACACTACTTTTCAACAGACACTTCTGCCAAGTGAAAGTATTGGAGTTCCTTTTTAAAATTTATTAAATTGGTGTCTGGCAGCATAAGATATTGAAGCAAATTTCAAATAACTAATCATAGCATTCAAATGCTCAAATACACTCTTAATATTTAGATATTACTACTAAGAATGATTATTTTAACACTTTGCATTTTATTAGTACCCAACATATAGTGACACGAGTTTGCTGAACAGTCCTGTTGCAATGGAAACAGATGGGCCTTTAATTGAAGATTTGCAGATGCTGAAAAAGACAGTGAAAGAAGAGGCTTGTCAGGTAAAGCCATGTAAAGATAACAAAGTACTCAAAATTATTAATAACTTTTTTTTTAAGCAACTGCTAATCCTAGACATAAACTTGGGTTATATTTTCAGCCCTGTAACCATTTATCCTAGAGTAATAAACTTCATTAATCATCTACTTCTAAGTGATACTGTAGCAGCCAGGAATACAGTGTTAGATTTCTAATGTCTGCGAATCTGCTGTATGGTCTCTTTTGACACTTCTTCTACAGAAACTTTCATTTTCTTTTCACTTAGAAATAGCTTCTTGTGTCACGATGGGAACAGTGATTATGCTTTAAGGATAGTTAAAAATATGGCTAAAATCCATCGTGTTCTATTCTCTATGTAACAGGTTTTGTTTTTCGTAAGGAACACTTGTATAAAGTGTAGTCAGATTCTAGGGGTGACATTTTCATTTTGTTGTTATTCAGAGCCTTCTTAGTGGCTAAAGCTACTACTATGTTTTGAAAAAAATGTGTAAAGTGTGCATTTGTCTTGCCCACTCATGGGTCATCTTCCTCTGTCCACCATCTGTTGTGTTCCACTACCTGCTGCAGGACAAGGACCCTCAAGGTCACTCCAGTCTTTTCGTCTTTAGCTAATGGTTAGTGATCTTCAGGTATTCTAAATTCAGCTTCAGTTAAGTGGAACCAGAATCCTGACATTCAAACTAGAGCTTTAAACTTGGAGCTGATGGAAAATGGAGAGGTGCCAGGGAGCATTCCAGTATCAGTAAGATGTCTGGTAGGAATATCAGTAATATAAATATCTCTAAATCCAACAACACTTAAGACCAGAGAAATGATCTGGAGCTGAAAAGCTGGTTGAGATCAGAGATGAAGTCTGTTAATTTGAACCAATGTATCAAACAAGAAATGTAGTAAAAATAAGCATATGGTCAACCTAACCTTCTATGGTACTTTCTTAAAATTCCAGTGTCATTATTCTGCAAGATTTTATTTTATTATTTGTACTATGGCATTTTGGATGAAGGTCAAAATCAAAAGAAACGCTGGAATGCCTCCAAGACATGCTCAGTGATTGCTGGTTTTTAAACACTTATCTCTGGAGTGGAACCCCATGCATTCTATGTATTACATGTAAATCTTGGTGGCTGAATTACATGCCTATCCAGGGCAATGAATGAGGGTAGCGTTCCCCTGAATGGCAACGCTGGTTAGAGCTAGTCAGTGAGGAGCAGCGGGCTGACTAAAGTTTTTAAACCTCTGCCTTTCTTCAGACCTTGGATAGCTTAGCCAGGCCTACGTGATGGGGAGAGGGGTCTTCTTTCTTTCACTAGCTCCAGAGGCTAGAACTAGTTCTAGTGGAGAAAGGTACATAGAAGATTATTGAATAAAAAAAAAAAAAAACAAACTACTGCTTAATCTTAAGAGTTTTGTTGATGGTAGTGTCAATCTTTTACTATGCTATTTCCTAGCACATAACCGTTGTCTCAAGATTTATGAAGCCTTTATTCACTTTCCATCCTGGCCAGTGGGAATTAAAACTCAGACCTCCTAACTCTTGGGTACTTTAACATTAGTTCTAGAAGAAAAGCAGCCAAAGTATGATCATATACTAGTAGTTGGAACAAGTAGTTAAGAACAAAGTTCCCAGTCCCAGCTGCTTGAAGTGTTTGGGGATTTGGGCCAGTATTCTACAATATAAAATGCACAAAAAGTAAGGGCAGCCCAACCTAAAATCAAGAACTCTGCCTAGGTCTTGCCTTCTTTTCTACAAAGAACTCAACTTTAAGAGCTCTGTTTGGGCTATGTGTAGCTTCATTGATAGCGTTTCGGCTGGAAAATCAGTGCATCGCATTCCTATGGATGAGATTGATTTCCCCTTCCCCTCCTCCCCCACCCCTGTTAGAAGGGGTGGGGATTAACAAAAATGACACTAATGGAAAAGAAACACATTGTAAGCTAAATAAATTCTGAAACTTGGGTTGGAACTGTTTAAGCATTCTTTAGCCATCTCTCGAAGTGCATGCTTTTACTGCTTTTTCTTGCTCAGAAAGTGTGCAAGAAGTAAAAGAGATTATTAGAAGGTTATCAGCTTGTTTTTCAAAGGGAATGGTCCTGAGCTAATAGAAGGGTTTAAAACAGAAATTCTTACTCTTAGAAGAACTGATAGAAATCTGTGAGGAGTATAAAGCTTGCAAGATTGATAACTCTGAGTCACCAGGCAGGAAAAGGATTGATTAAGGATTAGGGTATTGCAAAAAGCAAGCTAGGTAGCATTCTTGCATCAGTTTTTGAGAGGACACTGGAAAGACACTTATGTATCCCATGCTAAGTACCATGGGAAATGGATGCTCAAACAAGAGATATTACAGTTTACCAATTTAAAAAAAGACAAGTCAAAAGGACAGCTTAGTTTATTTTTTAATAAAACTTCAGAAGTGAGGAACTACATAAAGATCTATCCAGTTTCATTGAAAGTAAGGTTTATGCCAGAGGTTAGCAAATGTAGCAGAATGCCCATACTGAAGAGGTGATGGAATGACTGAGGAAAGTAGAGCAGGAATTTTTCTCTATACCAGACTATGTAAGCATTTTTAGTGAATGCTCTTTGCTATGAATAAAACTTGACCACCATGACTTACTAACTTTTTCAACATGCTAGTAAAGCAATGGCTAAGTAAAAGCCAGTCTTTTTTTTTTTTTTTTTTAAGGACTCTTTATAGAAGAACATGAATAAACATCATTGATGTGACAGGCAAATTAGGGTAGGTGTGACAGACATGGGGACTGTATAAAGACACCATTATATAGTTTCAAGATACTCTCAGAAGGATACTATCTGGTTTTGAGAGAGCATTAGTAAAATAAAACAGCAGAACTTCAAATTTTCAGATACGTGAATAGTGCAAGTAATTAGAAGCATGGAAAAAAACTTAAGATCATTTATCTTGCATGTAGAGATGATAATTTTATTTTTTAAAATGTTATCAAGTGATAATCATGGTAGTAATGTCATGATGCTAATAGCTTAGAATTTGTTAGTTGTTTCTAATTTTTCCTCTTAGAAAAAAAAATGGGTTTGGGACTTGAAACTGGGTAGCTGGTGGGGTAAAGAGGAGAAAGTACAAACTTTTTCCCATATGTTTTTAATTTCTTTTCCCCTAAGTGAACATACTGATATGCGAGAAATATTTTATGTAATTATTTAGTAATTAATATTTTTGGCCAACTTTGTTCTATTTTTATTTCAGGCACAGAAAGATCAGAAAAAAGATCGTCCTCTTGTGCGACGCAAGTCAGAACTGCCTCAGGATATCTATACCATGAAAGCCTTGGAATCACATTGCAGAGCTGATGAATTAATATCACATGATGGGCATTAAACTATTACAGTGAAATATTATTTTGGAGGAAAAGGTTTTTTTTCTGGACTCAGTTCTACAGTAGAACTTACTTTTTTGTGCCATACCAATCAGTTACACACAAAGTCAAAGCTTTCTTCAACCCAGTTCTGTAGGCAATAACTTAATAGAGTATGCAGCTCAAGATTAGTAGTTCAAACAATGGTAAATTACCCAATTCCATATGCAGAATATTGGGTTGACTGTAATCAAGTGGACACAATTTCCTGGAGGTGTTATCATAGTACTAGCTAGCTGATAACATGCACTTTTTATAGTCCTATTTGAGAAGAGCATTCTATAAACTCTTTCCACCTAAATAAGTGAATGACCAATAGTTGGTACTGATGATAAATGTGTGTTTTCAAAAGTAAAATTATTTCAAATTTAAGAATTAAACTTTTTCTAGGATTTCTCAACTTTTACAGTTGTTTCCACATTATTGCTGTCTTGTAATATACCAGCAGTTTTGAAAATAGTTATTCTTTCGTATTATGAAACATGGCTTACAAACTGGTAACTTTCATGACAATCCTCAATCATCATTCCTTTCTAAGAATTCTGTAAATTTATTTCTCCTTTACTTAGGATAAAGATATATATCTATATATACTATGTCCTAATACTTCATGTATATTTAAAGCCATATTTTCCAGTCTTTAGTGTATAATACAGCACCAGTATTCCAGATATGAACTGGTAGAAGAATTTTTCCTAAAATGAAAATTTTTACTATGACTGGGAATAGACAGAATATAAAATTTCATTTTAAGTTTTTTCAAGTCAATAAAATACTCTTTCACTGTTTTCTCCCTTATCTGAGCTTTTAATACTCAGCATTTTTCTTGGGCTCTAGGAGTTCAATATTCTGTGGCAGATCTTGTGCGTGATTTCAGTTGCATCAGTTTTTATCTGAAAGATGAACATAACCTTTCAGGAAACACAACATCGCAAGCTTATTAAAATAAGAAAAAGAACAGACCCTTGAATTCCATTCTGCTTCTTTTTAAATGAGTCTAAGAGCTGAGGAGATAGTGACCATAATTTTACCGTGAAAATATTTTTTGTCGTTGTTGTAAAGAGCACATGTGCTGCAAATACACCTCACAAGTGAACTGAAAATGCATCTGAGTTGCTGATGATCTTCAAATGCTGCTATATATTCCACAAGATTACTTGCATGTAATGAGCTTTTTGTTGTAGATGGAAAAGCACGGGAGGAAAATCTCTTTAAAAATATAGTGCTTTGTCTTCAATATTTGATTTCTCTCAGGGTGGCCAGTATTTTGACTTACTTATCCTGCTTATGAGCTGTTTGAAATGTGTTCTGCTATTCTAAATGGGTGATTAGTTTCTTTTGTCTCTGGCAGTAACATGATATAACTTAATGTTTAATGTCTTGATGCATAAAGAGATAAAAATGTGGCTTCTTTAAAAATAGTTTTGTTTTACTTTTTAAGGAAGTATAATGTCTCCTGCATCCATTAAAAAAAAAAAAATTGCTCAAAGCAGACATTCATAGTAACCTTGTGCAGATGTAGTGCCTGCTGTTTGTTGGTTGCATTTAACGTTCAATTTCCAATATTTGTTATGTTGTCTATTGGAAGAAAATTGTGGGTGGTAAACATTGGCTTACAACAACTAAATTTAAAGACCAACCCAACCTTTAAGTGGAATGTCCACTGTGTCTGAAAACATTTCCTGTAAAACTTGAAAAATAATATGCTTTACCATTAGGATAAACTATATTAAAACAGTTTAAAGATGCCTTCTCCTTTTGAGGGAAAAAGGGTGCTTTTTTAATTGTGTGAAGCAATGTCTATGTATTTTGATATACCATTGTTTGAACTTCCATCTTTAGCTGGTAGACTATTAGTTACCTTTGATTTTGGGTGTTCAGTATGTTTGTGCAAGAGGTTGCTGAAAGGAATTATTCTTATGTTACCCAAGGGGGGGAAAAAAAAAGAAACCTGTATATCAATGTTTGATTGATTGTGTGATGCTCAACGTATAAGAACATCTTTCACTGTCTAGATTTTATTTCTGTTCTTTATTGAAGATAAACATTCACCAAAAAGGGAAGTATTATGGTATTTTTAAAGGCTTTAAGTTCACCATAAATTCATATTTGACGTTTTGGGCCACTGACCATTTACTTAGGCAATATTCCAAAACCTATCACCACTAATGGTTTAGCATGTTTATTACCAATATTTATATCCTTCTTATAATGCTGTACTAAACTATTCTAAAACTAATACATCCAAAATAAAAAGAAAAATTAAAGTAGAATTTTGGTGACTGTTGTTCTTCATAAAGTTCTGTCTGACACCTTTCCCTGTTTTCCAAAATTACACCTGTACATCAGGAATGTCAAAAGTAATATTACAAGTGTCTTTTTAGTGTGGCTTTAGTATGGCTTCATTTTAATATTGTACATACATTGTACCTTGTTTTATGGTAATAAGTAATAAAAATGTAGACTTCATATTTTGTACAGAATTGTCCTATGTACAGAATAAAAAGTTCCTAGAAACAGCAAAAATAGGTAAGTGGCACAATTATTTTTCATTAGACAATATCTGTAACATTATGCGTTAGTGGAATGTTAAGTTCAAATGTACCTACATATTTTTTAACGTTTTGTAATTCAATTTTTTGTTCTGGCATTGTTTCTGAAGAACTTCATACACCTGCCATTTAATATGCTTTTATCTAATTTTAAAACTTTAAAAAAAAATGGTGTATTATATGGACAAATAAAGAACATGTGAATTTTACTTGCTCATCATGAAACTAAATTTAGCACAGGGTGTTTGGGGGTGCGTTCAGATTATTGTTTGCAGAATCAGCTGTACAAATTAAAGTAATTTCCTAAATTTCACAAAAGCAAAAAATATTTATGGAAAGGCCATTAGTAAAAAAAAAAAAAAAAAGAGAATAATGGATATTCAGTAGAAAAAGCAGGCTTAACTTTTAGAACAACTATCAGTACTGAAAGGAATTTGATAAATCTCTAGTCTACAAATATGAAAGATGCACCTTTCGTACCAAGTATTTTTCCCCACAACGCTTGTATATTGACAGGCTTCAACCAAAGTAGACATAAAATTAGGGATTATAGTGGGGTAGGTGATATGTGGCCAGGTGGCAAGGATGTAGGAAAAAACTTAAGTTTGCAGTAGGAATTGTCTCCCTCTGGAATCCATAAAAGTCCTCAAAAGAACTAAGGAAATTACTCGCGTAAAGCTGACTTTCAGTAAGTGGTGGGTTCAGGGCAGGGAGGGAGTTGTAAACCTGGTGTCGGTATGTCACTACTGACTTGGGTTATAAATGTAACAGATTTGAGTTATAAATGAAGCCTTTGCATACTGAAAGAAATAGTTTTCTGCATAAATTCAGAAGGAAACATTGTATGCACTCCCAAGCTTAGTCACGAATCAAAAACTAGATACTGAAACAGCTGAGGATTCAGTTGTTTGGTTTACAAAATTAGAGTCAAGTACCTCTCAAAATACAATGTTTTAAAATACTGGTGGTAGTGAGGGGTTTTTTTTTCCTGTATAAATACCTTGCTGAGTTGCAAGCCTGTTCAGGAAGTGAACTTTAATCCTTTCTCTCTAAGGAAATTAAGCTCAGGGGCTTTAACCAACAAACTTTTTTTTGGCACTGCCTGCTTGGTTTGGCTTTTTAGAAGTGGAAAGGAAGGTGGTAGTGTAGCACCAGTCAGTATGCTTGTGTTTGGAGGTTTGGTTTGCTTTAAGGAAACTATTTTGGTACCTTAGAAATGGTACTTACAGGAGATAGCTACGATCCCAGGTTATCCAGAATATTGATCTGGGTCCCATTATGGACCATCCACCTAAAAGTGGAGCATTTCTGCTTAAATCTTGTCCTTAACTGTGCATAGTATTTGTGGAGTCTCAGACTGCATTTAGCTAATTAAGAAATGCCATTCTAATTACCATATTGCTGTCTCCCTGGATTATAGTTTCTTTTATGTGATGAGACTTTGCTTGAGCTGTCTTTCACCTTATGAAATAAAACTTTCATGTAGTTAAAAATTTTGTATGAAAAATTTCCCAGGGGAGAATTTATTGCGGGGCTAAAGAAGATAATACCTAATTCCTTCCTCACATAATTGAAGAGCAGCATGACTGCAGCTGGCTTTCTCTGAACCCAGTCGTACTGGGACTGCATTCACTCCTGCAGAGACAGAGCATGAAGTTCCATAAGCATCAACCCTAATGCATTGAGGGGAAAGGGCTTCCACTGTTCTGCTGCAAAGGACAGAATGATCTTCACATAATCTGCCTCAAGCTATTTTAGGCATTTTTGTGATCCAGAAGACCACACTAAGAGGGTTCAAGCTAATATGAAAGCCTTGCCGTAGTAATTTTTCTTGTACTCTGGCTGTAGAACTAGAGCTGCAAGAGGATTAGAGGTGAGAAAGTAAGTTATTTGCTCTGATGATTGCTTGTTTGGGTTTTTTTGCTTTGGTTTTGGTCTCAAATACTACCAAATTATTAAATATAGGAAAAAGACATCTTTTTTTCTTTTTGCTGAAGTTTCTGTTGTAATTTATGCAAAATAAGTTCTTTCTACATATGCTGTGTGACATTTGCCAGGAGCAAATCTCTTCTCTCTTGACAGGTCCTAGTTCTCATTCTGATTCTCTGAAATACTTATTTTTAGTTAAATTATAGGGGGAATGTGTCATACCAGCAGTCTTGCCTTTTGTATGGCCAATTCCAATGGCTTTTCGCGTGCCTGTGAGAAGGGTCGGGTCCTTTGTGTATTCAAGAAAAGGACATTCAGAATTAACTAGGGGTAGATCAAGGCAAACTATTTTTCACCCTGATTGAGCAAGCTAAAGCCTTTTCATAGGCTTTTACTGAAGATGAGAACTTGCGCAGAAAGCTAGTTTATCTTGTCTTTGCTTCGATTTCCTTTAACTTAACTTAAAACATCATCTTCCTGCCTCCTTTGGCTTCCTTTAACTTAAAACATCATCTTCCTGCCTCCTTTGGCACAGTAGATATGGCTGAAGTGATTAAAGGAATACAAAGTGTCTTGCCTATGCTGGCTTTTAGTTACAAGTAGCCTAGCATCAGAATCCTAGACTTGTTCTTTATACCATACAGTCTTGCCGCACGTGATTTTGAAAACCTACAGTAAGATGAGACTTGTTGGGGTTTTGTGACCCTGCTTCCTCTGCAGTTCAGCAGCAATGTATATAAATAATAACTTGAAGTCTTATTTCCTATCTCTGCCCTGCTTTCTTTTCTTTAATTCCTTACTTTACTTTCTTTATTCTTTCCTGGCAGCAATTTTACAGCAATGAAATATTGTATCTTGCTTTGTAAGCTACAAAAATTTTGTGACATTTTGGTGCAGCACATCATGATGGTTGTTTTAGAAGAATGTGCACGCTAGCACTTTGAAACACAGCTTGAGCTAACCTAAAGGATGCCAAGTTACACTTGAGACCTATCTAGGTTGCTTAAGAGTATTATCGTATCATAAGGTATTATTATACCCTTTTAATTAACTTCCTGAAGGCCAGGATGTTAATTTAATCTGTGCTTTTTTGATGCTTGGCCTGTACTGACACTATGTGGATGTAAGAAGTAGATAGTTCTCCCCTGCTTGGAAAGCAGTCAGGCAGGACCAGATCTGGGGTAGCCTTGATGAAATTCAGATGGCCTAGCAAAGATAGCTCTTTTTTTTTTTTCATATTAAATGTAATCCTAAAACATAACCTGTGTGTAGAAGAACGACGGGGTGAGCAAACTAGACTTTGGAAAATGGTGAGTGTTGTACTAAACACTATCTTCTAGGTAACTATATTCTATAAATAGAATATTCAAATGAGTATCTACCACTAATTTTCTTCATCAAAAATAAAATTTACCTTTCTAATAAGGTCTGGGGGGAGGGGTGAAAATTAAATGGGTTTGTTTGGTTTTCAGTGAATCACCTCTACCAGTTCTGGTGCCGTGGTCGAAACTTGGCTGCTGAACAGATCATTTTCCTTCCAGACAAGAAGGTTTGAGATGTCTGTTGCTTAAGAAATTGGTGTTCTTTCTAAGTTAAATGGACTCATGAACCCCTTAGGAGCCTACCTGAGCGTAGGCATGCTTTTTTCCAGGTAGAAATGGAGGAGCTGGGGCCTTATGTCCTGTGCAATACATCTGAACAAATCCTGGGCCTGAGGGTCCCTTGCGTTTGCCTGTGTATCCACCTGAGGATGTGGAGTTCGGAGGCAATTTTGTATGGTTTGTTTGCTTATTTTTCTTTTTTGGGTGACATCCCCTTCTGCACCTCCATATGAACAAGAACTGGAGTTCTTGGAGTGACTGTAGGTCACCCATCAGCCCCAGTGTAGTATTTGGGAGGCAGTGGAGTTGCTTTGCAATTTCACTGCTGCCTCCCCTTTCCCAGGCAGTTCGAATAGCAGCCAGTACCAGGCGAGGGAGGGGGAATAGTTTGGGCAAGGAAGA